GAGACCTAGACGTAGATGGGAGGATAATATCAAGTGGGATCTATGAGAGATAGGAGTTGAAGGAGACTGGATTTTGTTGGCCCAGGACAGGGTCCGGTGGAGGGCTTTGGTTAATTCGGTGATGAACCTTCGGGTTCGGTAAGCCATCTAGTTAGTTAGTTAGTTATTTTTCTGTATCTTTTATCATACAAAAATGTACTGAATTATCTCTCTTCCATGTAACGTGTACTGTAAAAACAATCCTCAGTTTGACACCTGTTTTTAGATAACATGATTCTTTACAAATACCAATCCCCGGCAGAACAACTTGTATATAACAAATGTCATTAACATTGTCAGTAGATATATTAGGACTACAGTGTGTAAGGTGTACTGTCATATCAGAATATCAGGACTCTTTATACACTTATGTGTCTTAAATTTCCTAAATTCCCATTCAACATACTTTAAAAAAAACCATAATTAATTAATCTCAAACTTCTTTCCCATAAATGCGGTAGTAATTAATAACTTAAAGCCAACACTAAAGCTTGCAGCCTTGCAGAAGGCTTTATTTCAAAATCCTTGTACTGTTTTCACAGCTGAAGGGTCTTTTAGACTGGGGTGTTCCCACGTCTACATTGTCATAATTTCCTCTGCAATCAGCGATCTTGACCATAACACCAATCTTTGTGAGATGATAAAGTTGCGTCATATTGTGATATAATAAATATATATTAAATCTTGTCCGTCTAATCACAATAAATTCTTATTAAATATTAAAATATTACAATAATTAACATTTAAAATATTTAAAATATCAAATGATGTTCTTTATCGAAATATTCGATTTACATTAGACAGATGTCTAATGTAAATTTTAAATGTTAATTATTGTAATATTTTAATATTTAAAGGAATTTATTGTGATTAGACGGACAAGATTTAATATATACCAATGTTTGTGCTTCTACAGGGAGTTAACTGGGAAGATGTGGCTAGAAAAACTATTACGATGCCATACCTGCCGCCTCCTTATCAGGATACAGACATCGCCCCTGTTCAAGGTCATCTGAACTTGGAACTTCAAGATCAGTTACCTGTCGGAGCGTTGAAGAAATATCATAAAATCTTAAAGGTCAGTAAAAGTTTTATTATGTGGTGTATCACAACAGGGTTTATTCCTGGTTCTGGTTTTGAACCTTGTTTATAGAAAATATAATTATTTTGTAAATTCAGAAAAAACTAAGTACATGTTAGTATCTCATCATCAGAAGACAGGCGGGCAAAATTATCTTAGAGTGGCTAATAAATCCTTTGAAAGTGTGACAAAGTTAAAATATTTGGGAACAACAATAACAAATCAAAATGATACTCGTGAGGAAGTTAGGAGGTGATTAAATTCTGGAAATGCTTGCTACTTCTCAGTTCAAAATATTTTGTCTTCCCGTCTGATTTCTAAGAACCTGAAAATTAAAGAATACAAAACAATAATCTTGCCCATTGTTTTGTATGGGTGCGAAACATGGTCTCTCACTCAGGGGGAGGAACACAGATTGCAGGTGTTTGAGAATCGGGTGTTGAGGAGGATATTTGGGCCTAAGAGGGAAGACGATGGGGCGTGGAGAAAACTGCACAATGACGAGCTTAAAAATCTGTACTGCTCCCCCAGTATTGTGAGGGTGATTAAGTCGAGAAGAGTGAGATGGGCGGGACATGTAGCGCGCATGGATGGGACAAGAGGTGTGCACCGGGTACTGGTTGGGAAACCTGAACGGAAGAGACCGCTGGGGAGACCTAGACGAAGATGGGAGGATAATCTCAGGCGGGATCTATGGGAGATAGGAGTTGAAGGAAACTGGACTTTGTTGGCCCAGGACAGGGTCCGATGGAGGGCTTTGGTTAATTCGGTGATGAACCTTCGGGTTCACTAAGCCATCTGGTTGGTTGGGTCCACTATTTGCGAAGCCTGAGGGGAAGAGACCTCTGGAGAGACCTAGACGTAGATGG